TTTATTTGCACTGACCATGGATATCAAAACGCCAAATGCCAGAGGGGAACTCGCAGTTCCTGAGATACTTTCTATGGCTACGCCATAAGCGCTTCAAGACGATGACATGCATGCTTAGGGAAACGTGACAATGCCCTTATGGAGAAGCACTTGGTAGGGCAATGGCTTTGGTGGGTAAATGCCAGTGGAGAGAGAGTCTTCTTTTAAAACAAAACAAAAAGACTTAACTACAAACGACCATACTCGTTTTAAGGGACACAAATGTCACTTGTTTTCCTTTTTTCTGGTAATCATCAAAGTTGTATCTGGAAGTCTGGGATAGAAGAGCATTTTTCTCCTTCTTATCAGGGTCCGTGGGAATACAAGTAAAACCAGGAGAGATAGTGGCCCTTTGCTCACGTAAGGAGCACTCAGACAAGACACCAAAGTCGCTCTGGACTGGGGGTACTGCCAAAGGGATTTGGGGAGAAAGTTGGAAAACAAGAGAGGGCATGCCTACCCCAGAGGAGAGTTCCATCCCACCGAAACCGTGGCTGCAGGAGGGAGTGGAGCTGGGGACAGGGAGATAGGCAGGAAGCAGGCGGGTCTGGGCCCTGTGGCCGTATATCTGAGTGTCTGTGGGTCCCCCTCTGGGCCCCATTGCCTGCCATGATGCTGGCCACATCTGCTCAAATTAGTGTTTCCTCTTGACTAAAAGCTCCAAGCCATGGGTCAGAAGGGCGCTAAGTGGGCTGTGTGCAGGCCATCTGCTAGGGAGGTTTCCAAAAGTCCTCGAGGCAAAGAAACACAGCGAGGCTGCAGAACCCAGGGCAGATGGAGAACCGAAAGTCTCCATTTGCACACGTGGAAAAGGACGAAGCTAAGAAAGAGCTGGCGAAAGGATACGTCTACTAGGCAACAGTGGTACCTCCCTGGCAGTGTGCCCGGACCTGGTTTTATTCCAGGAATTTTGGGACAGCGCTCACATGAAATAGTAAAAAAAAAAAAAAATTACAAAGAAGAAGAAAACTTACACAAATGCTATGAACTAACAAAGTCAGATGTTTTATGTCATGTACTCCAAACTTTGACACAGTTATGAAAGACGAGATCCAATAGCTTCCCAAAAACAATATCGAACAAACCATCTTAAACTAGTGAGACAAGTACCTGCCCAGGCTGTCTGTCAACTGAGTCCACAATGAGTCAAAGCTAAAGAGTAAACTGGGGGCAGTGATTTTTGAGATCTTAGTCCAGTGTCAAGGAGCCCTGGGGGTGTCTTGGGTTGTGGGTTGGGCTGCTAACCTCAGGGTCAGCAGTGAAATCACCATCACTCCACTGGAGAAATAGGAAGCCTTTTAATAAAGATGTACAGTGAACCCTCGTTTATCGCGGTTAATCGGTTCTAAACCCTACCGTGATAAATGAAATTCCGCGAAGTAGGATTCCTTATTTGTAAATCAAATATTTTCGTAGTTAGAGCATAGA